TTTTATGTTTTTTCTAAATTGATCAATTTCAAATCCTTATTTTGGAAATTAAGTGCTGATCAAATAAAAAAATGGTAATTATTTTTTAAAATTATTTTTGTTGAGAATTTTTTTGCTGTAATGTTTTATTCGAGACTTTACTTGAGATCTATACATAAATATTTATAAATCTGTAGAGAAATAAATATAAGAAAAAATTGTGAAATCACATGTACCAGTAGTATAATTCTTATATATTTAGATATTTTTAGCACTAGCAATCATTTTCATAAAAAATATTTAATAGAATTTTTAAAGGCACAGTTATTATTATTAATGTTATAAAATATAATAATTTTCAAAAATATCTCGATTATTGTGCAAATTTAGGTGGTTATTATTTCGAAAACGTATTATTGAGCGATAAAATCAGCCGAATTGTTGCTTTATTACAAAATTATTTATTTTTTACAAGTTCACGTGCATATATTTTATACTATGTGTTAATAAAAATAACAAGTTTTTTCTACAATATGGTATTAATTCATTCCGTCTATTTTCAGCATAACATTTCAAAAAATAACAGCTATTTGGTACAATTTACAGATTGTTTTCACTCTAAATGTAAATGTATATGTATATATATATATATTTCTTGAAATGAAGTATATAAAATTGTTCAGTTTATGACAAAAAATTTTTCGAACAAATGCCTGCATTTGATTTGAATTTTCCAGATTACGAGATCACACTTTAACTATGTCTTTCCGGACTACTGCGTAGAAACTAGACGAAATTATATAGTAAGTAGAACACATTTTCTTGCAACAACGAAAGTGAGAACTGACGAACACGCGTGCTCGATTATACCTACCTAATTACAGACGTTCGCAACGATCGATCGGCTGCGTAACAGTTGTACTTTATTGTATATTTATATTTAAAATATGTATTCGTTTTTCCCATTCAGGCCAAGTCCAGCACCAGATCAGTTATCGAATAAAAGCAAAGATAAATTTAAGTTAACTGTATAGATGTAAGATACCTGTGTCCTGGCAGATATCCAGAAACGAACTGTCGGTTTTGTGAAATCTTAAACTTGATCTCAGGGCCGTGTTTATCAGGTTTTCCCCACATATTTATATAATATACAACACAGAATTGTACACGTGTTTACCATTTGCTCGAACTTGAACTTTAATAATCGAATAAGTTTAGGTGTAGAGAATAACAACAGACTAAATAGACACATGTTAGAAATATATTATGTAGAAATATGTTAGAAATATGTTATGTAGAAATTTTAATAAATTGGCGTCTATTTGCTATGAACCCTAAATGCTTTGCAGTTTATTTAAAAAATACGAAGTACGTAGTGCTATAATATATTTATGACTGAAAATGATTTCAGTGTTAAATGAATTTTAGTAAAAACATTATTCCAGTTGTCATAAGTAAAAGATAGAATAAGAAATGGCCTTATTTTAATGTTTTGTAGGTGTACATTAAATATATCTTTATTAGATAAAGGTAAAGAAAGATAAAACAAATAAAAATATTAGATTATTTTAAGTTTTTACGTATTGTTTGTATCTTATTTTGCAGAGTTATTAAATTAAATTAAATAACATATTTAATAAGAGAACTTAAATTTTTAATAATCGAATGTTTAGGTGTAGAGAATAATAATAGACTAAATAGACATATGTTAGAAATATATTATGTAGAAATTTTAATAAATCGGTGTCTATATTTTAACTTTCATTTCGAGAAAAAAAGTTATATTAAAATCTAGAAATTTGAGGACAAATAACGCCTCAACTGTGTATTATATAAATTAGGAAAATTCAGTAATAATTATTATTTGTAATTAATATTAAGGCAAAAGCATACGGAAGACAAAATATTGATAGGCTTTTTAGAAGTTGGTAACACTGCTAAACCGTTCGATAGTTATATCCTTGAATAACTGTGCCATTGAAAATTATGTTTCTATCATTTCGTGTGTACATTCACTTAAATAAGAAATATACTCACGCAAAAGACGGACCACTAAAATTTAATTTAACTTTGTAAAACGTCTTTTAATAGTGACAACACAGCAAAATATCATTGAGGATGAATAATTCAAATTAAAGCTTAAATATTCCTCTTAGCAACCAGCAGAACAAAAAAAGAATTACAAAAAAGATTTTAAAAATGACAGATGTTGAAGGATAGATTTTGAAAAATAGAGAACAAATTTTTTTAATTATTGCACTGATCAGGAAAGTTTGCTATCTGGTACAAAATTTTATGGTATTTTCAAGTTAATTCATTTCTCAACAAATCTGTATTTTTTGACAATTTTTTTTATAATTGAACCGTTTATTTTGAAAGTGACCTAAGTCCATTTAAAAAAAAAATGTTTATGACAGCTAACTTCAAGTTGTACACGACAAAACATTGAAAAATGGACTTAGGCCACTTTAAAAATAAACGGCTCAATTATATGTAAAAAAAAATATTTTTTTGTAAAATATTAACTTAAAAACAAATTAATATAGAAAACTTTATCAGAAGGAAAATTAAAGTGTAAACTTTAAATTTAAAAACTTTTTTATTTCTCCATCTTATCTTAATCTTCTGGATAAACGCCTACATCGAAGAAATCTATGCATGTTAATGCCTTATCACGTAACCGGTTAAAATAAAAGTTGTAATTTTAATATAAATGTAGAGAATAGATAAATTAGAAAGAGAAGAGGAGAAAGGTGAGATAGAAGACGTAGAGGGGAAAGGAGTGGGGGTGGAGAGAGAGAGAGAGAGAGAGAGAGAGAGAGAGAGAGAGAGAGAATAAAATGATACAGTGTAAAACGTGTATATTGTGACTCGCAACTGTCAAGATCATTGTCCGTTTTTAATTTTATATCATCAATTTTACAATGTACACGTTTTATATTGTATTATTTTATCTGGATATAATTTTATCTGGACTTTATACTGCGCTATTATTCTTCTGCATACGTCATTCTGAGAAAAAAACATGTATATATGATTAAAACTTAATATACATATACATATATATATATATATATATATATATATATACATTATTGTCCAAGTTTGATCATCAATGCACTACTAAATTCATCTTTATTATATAAATGCTGTATAAATAAGTATGCATACTTAATGCTATAATATCTTATATATTGCCGCAAAATTACAATATTTTTCTCTACAGTTATTATCTCTATATAATAGCAAATTTATATCAATTATCGATATAATGTCATCGTTCTTTAATTATAATATCTTTGGACTCCTCGAGTCCCACTGATCACGGAAATTTATTTAAGGCTGGCTATCTTTAATTAATGATATCTCATCGACACAATGAACCACAATGCTTAGACATGAAGATATTATTATCTATATTATTACTAGATTGATAAGTCCAGATCCTCATGTAGACACCGATGCTTTAACACACAGAGCGTATAATTGATGAAAAATGAGTGATAAGAATAAATTAAAAATCCCATAATTCATTTTTCATCAATTAGCGCACGATGTTACAGTGTCAGTGTCTGCATAAGGACACATTAAAAAAACATAAATATAGACGAAAGTAGTAAGATGTTAGTAGTAAACACACCAACATTTTGAATTTGTTACTGCTTATGTTATTATCTTTATGATCTTATTACTTTACTATAATTAGCTGATTTGTTTAGGGCTATATGACACACAGAAAAACTTAAGCACGACTGCCTCACATACTTTTCGTAAAGTTAAGTTAAGATGTGAGGTAGGTAACAATTTTTTGATATGGGTTATATTAGATTAATTTAAAATTTAATTTTCTCGAGAGACAGATCTTTAAAAAATCATTAATTTATTTAAAGTACAAAAATACAAAACGCATACAACAAAAAACACAAAATCATTATTTTGATAAAATAAGTATATTTTTCATAATGAGAACATGGTAGTATCTCGGCGCTCTAAACGAATCGCAGCAATACCGTAATACGGCACTTCTCTTTTACAAATTACTTTTGTATGAAATTTTTTAATTCACTCCATAGAACTTTGCAAAGTTTGTAAAAAATTTTAAAATTTGTATCGTGAACTTTGTAAAAAATCTTATTTAAGATCAGATTTTATTTGAATAAACAATCTAAAAAGTAAAGATTTCAAACATTTTGGGTCATTTTATTATGATTATTTTTAACAAAGTTGCACTTTTTTTAAAATTGCTTATTTTTATAATGCAGAGAAAATGATCTCTTAATTTTTTGGCGTAATATATATTATTATTGATACTTGTCATACCAAAATTCCAATTTTCGTTACATAAATTTCTTTATGCATGCTATACACGTAATATTCATAATTCTTTATCCTCTTTTTCGCTTTCTTTATGTGCATTAGATTAAAGTGCAAAATATAAAAATCTTCTCCAAAACTTATATTATTAAATTGTATTATGTTATTTGTGTATCGTATGTATGCTATTTGTAACATATAATTTACATATATATAATTGCATATGTATAAAGACAATGGTTATATATATATATATTATTAAACGACCATTATACACACCTTATGCTTTATCGTATAATAAACACAAATATTAATAATATATAGATTAACAATATCTGATAATATAACAACAGCTCAGCTAAGCATTATAATTACATTATATCAATTTTGTTATTAATCAAGCAGAACAAAACTTTATTGTCCGAGCAACTGATTTATGACATATTGTGCTGACGCCATTAGAAAGCAATACGACGTTCATAATGACTTCTTTTAACATTGTACAAAAAATTTATTTATTATATTATACCTATTACTATCAATATAAAACACCTGCATTTGCGCGTTTACATGTATTAATTCTTAACAACGATTAATTAAATTAATTAATAGATAATTATTTCTTATATATAGAATAATCGAGTAGAGTAGAGAAAGTTTCTGAAATTTTGAAAAGAGAAAGATATCTTATTTTAAAATAAGTCGACAACCCTGATTTTGTACGACGTCTTATAAATAATACAATAGCATATACTAGATAATTATATAAAAAAATTTTATTCACATATTTGTTTTTAATCAATTAGAGATGTTTCTTTGCAATTGTTAGCTGTCCGCCTCGACACCGCTATCACAAAAGTCCACTAAGCAGCGTAACGCATCGTCGGGCAAAAGTCTAAAATTTTATAAAATGTTTTTTTTTCATTTCTACTTGAGATTTTTATTTTTATTAATATTATCGCACACATTAATTTTTTTTCTCACTAATATTAATTAAATGTTAAAAATACTTTATTTGCTTTTTTTTTTTCTTCAAAGATAGTATCTTCATACATTATATTATCTACTGTGAATAATTTCGGAATTTATTTACCTTAATAATAAGTTGAATGATAACCAGAATGGAGGCACAGTTTTTTCGTGATAGTTGCACCTCTGCGCGTGAATTATTTGTGAGGCTGCTTGCCCCGGTGAAACCAACGGCATGGCAGACGGGAACCTGTTCAAATTAAAATTCATAAACAATATTAAAAATCTTTATTTTAGACCGCATATGTGAGAAACACAATAAATACTAGAAAAATGCCTATTACGGTCGAAGCTGGATCTTCATTGCTTTAAATAATTCAATCTTGAATTACTAATATACACTACATATGTACTTGCATATATATCATATTCTAGTCTTTTTAGAACTGCGCGCAGAATTGTTTTTTCAGATTATAAACGCAATTAAAACTACTCTAGTAATCGCCAATTAAATTGACAAGCAATTTAATAATTTGATGCTACTATCAAGCATCATATTATAAAGATGTTAATATGTTGAAACTGTTAATAAATTTATTGCGAAAAATATTACTTCGGCCAGGACTTGAACCCGGATCTCTTGTATTCCGTACGAGCGTCCTAAGCTATTAGACTACCGAGTGCCTCGTAATAGGCATTTTTCTAGTATTAATTGTAAAATATTTATTAAGTAAAATGTAAAAAATCCAATATTTCATAATATTTTATAATTTTGTTGGAATTGCTAAGAAGTGTTTAATGTAAGATCTGAAGAAAACTGTCAAATAAAATTTTATTTTGCCGTCCCACTGAGAAATGACAATAAAATCGATATCGAATCGAAATTATCAAATTGACATCGATTCGACATCGATTCCATTGTCATTTCTTAGTGAGGTGTATCTTTAGTTTAGTAGCTTACCTCGCATCCAAAAATCTAATCTGCATGTACAAAAAGCGTAACTAATTAACAATATGTAATTGTATATTGTATATGTATATCTATATACATTTGCTATTGCAACTTAATAGGTCGATGTTTATAATTCTTATTTCAAGACTTATTAAGTAATGTTTTAAGATGCTAATGGCTCTATGATTAACTTCTTCTATACTTTAAATCTTAAAAATAAGAATTGACTATGAATACCGGCCTTAAAAATATTAATCAATTTTTTTGAGAGTGAACAATGTAATTACAAATTTTAATGAATATTTTTACATAATAATAGCATATACTTCATGCTAATTAAATGTTAAGTATAAATTCTAATTACGTTTACGTAACATTACTTCGTAAACATTATTTATATAATTTCATCGTGTACTTACTTTACTTTTGGTTTTTTGCAAAGTCCAGTGTCTACCATATACGGATAAATGGTAGTGAATTTGATTAAAGATTTTCCTTTGGTGGATGTCCGTAGTTCCTCGCTGATTGATTCCATAAGTCCTACAATATTTGTGCCAATAAAATTAAGAATTTAACACCTCTTGTGTATAAAAAGCAGTTAAAATCGAGTTAAATATAAAATAGCTTACCTCTAACTGCAAATTTTGAAGCACAGTAAGGAACTAAATTTGGAATACCACCAATTCCAGCCAGTGACGAGAGCGCAACTACGTGGCCGTGATTTTTTTCGATCATACTTGGTAGAAATGCTTGTAGCATCTAAAAATAGCAAAAACAATAGACTTCAAATACAAGAAGTGTCAATAGTGAATAATGACTTGTTTGTGAAAAGTGGTATGTTGCACTGTGTTTAGAAATAATTTTCTGTAAAATTTCTTTAATGTATAATTATTTTCATACTAATAGTGTCAAAATTCACATTACTTTAGCTCATATAATGTACTAGTATACTAAATACAACCTACTAAGGGCTAGTTGTACTATCTTCAGATAAACTATGTGATAATTTATCTAACGGATATATTATAAATAAAAGAATAAACGAGTAAGAGTATGAATAAAGAGAGAGTAAAAGAGTGAGCTGAAGTTTATTGAAAGATGGAACAACTCAGCCTATAAGTTTTAAGAAATTATTAAAGAAGAAATAACGCGCGTGCGTGCGTGCGTGCGTGCGCGTGTGTGTGTGTGTGTGTGTTGCGACTCATAATTAGAATTAAACCAGTAATTAGGACTGTTAGGTTAATATATACAAATTTTTTTATCTTTATACGTATATGTATATATTTAATTAATTTATGTCAGTTCTTTAACTTGCCCAGAAATGAGCCAGCACGTTAATATCGAAGATTCGTTTAATTTCGTCAGTGGTATGATCGAGAAATGCATGGCAAGGCATTATACCAGCATTGTTAACTAAAATAGTGACGTTGCCAACTTCCTGCTTGACTCTTTCGGCTACGCTGAAGACATGCTCTCTGTTCGACACATCGCATCTGCGAAACAAGACGCAAATATTCCTGAATTCTCCTCGAACGCCTTTCGATCGGACGTTTCACTATTATGTTTCTCTTGGTTTTATTGTATTTTGTAAAAGAGTAAACGATATAAACGTACTGATATGCGTATGCTGCAGCTGTTCCAGTTTTCTTTATCTCATTCACTGTCTCTTCGTTTGATTCTTGGTTCACATCCCAGCAAACCACTGTTGCACCTAATGATGCATAACGAAGAGCCAATTCTTTTCCAATACCATGACCAGTACCTGTTATCTGTAAAAACATAGTAACTTAGAGTATAGAATTATCGCACTTTTAGCATCTCTCTTTCGCAAATTACTTCATAAAGAATCTTCTAGATATAAATATTAAATTTAATTTATCACCAATTTATAATGTAACCACATATATGTATTATATACAGATTTAAAATAAATATATTCTAATTTTTATTCATCTTATAAAAAGTTTATGGTTTAAAATTATATAATAAATAATTATATTATATCTTTTAAGATTATATACATGAGAAACACAACCTATAGAAATCAATGCTTTAATAAATAATTATTTAATGACTAATGTTTGATGATTTTGCACATTTAATGATAATTATATCTTTGCTCTTTCATAAAAAAAACTTTACATTACAGTGACTTGTAAATCTTGTTCTAATTAGTTTCTGCAGACCCGGCGACTTGTCTTGACCGAAGGTGTGGAAATTGTCTACTGGAAGAGAGGCGAGGATAACCGGTAAAATTATGAAATTCGAAATTTTTTACTAGTTTAATTATCTATAACCTGAAAAATATCAAACGTGGACACTCTTCATTGCTTATAAATCTTATAAAATACTTATAAACTCATTCATCAATTTATCTATGAGTTTAAAAAAATTAAAAGTTGATTTTAAATTCAATTCTTGAATTTCTTGGGTATGTATTTCCACACCAAACTAAATTTTTAGGTGTTGATTGCACCATAAATCCACACACAACTTACCGGGCCTGAGTTTCTGAATAGAGTGAAATATTGATAAAATCACTGCAGTTTCTAATAAATAGAAAAAATAATTGTCCAATATATAATTTTCAAGATATATTTTTTCTTTCTTTTAATGAATAAATAATCGTTATTTCTATTATCATATTTAAAAATGCAATAGATTCATAAAAAGTAAATTCTACACAATATTACATAAAAATAATTAATATATAACTTTATAGCATTAATAATGAACACATTAACATAATTACTTACGTCTGTACGATTTATGTACCTATGTAATAAAAAATTCATTTAATATGCTGTATATTTTGTTGCGTTGTTGCTGAAGATGACTCAAAAACGGAGTCAAAACGTACGAAGTGAAATGATATTTTTATTGTAATAAACTAGATATTTTAACAACCAGAGGTAGACTCCTATTGCCTTTTTACTCATATATATAATTTTACTAATCTTGTTTTATTAAAAAATTCAAATTAGATACATACCAGAACGATCTCACCAGCCACGCTTTTTTCTTCTGCTGGTACGAAAAATTTATACACGCTTTCGCAAATGTAATATAGAATCTTCAAAATAAGTAGCAAAATGTCCGCAAGGACCAATGCGCCGTTGTATGCTTTTACCATGGCTGCTCGCTATTCTGGCCTGCAAAAATAAAATTTTTGTTTGATTGCAGAGACATAAAATAAAAAATTTATTCATTTGTTTTGATAAATATTTTTCTTAGCACAAAAATTTATATTTTTTCAGAGTAGTATTAAAGAGACTTTATTACAAAAATATTAAAAATAAATTGTCACAATATGCGTCTTTTTATTTATATACGCGTTCAGATTTTTATTTAGGTATATAAAGATTATTTTATTTTATTTTTATTCCTTAAAAAGAAATAATAATATAATAATATAATAATTTTTCTTTCAGTCTTATTAATATAATATAATATAATCTTATCAAATATCTATCTTATTCTGTTATACAAAAAAAGAGTGAAATAATTTTCTTAAATAACTTATTCATTTTTTTGGATATTTTTTTTTATATTTCCGTAATGAGCTTGACAAAACGATTTTAATTCTAAGCTTGATTTTGATTGAAGTATGCAATTGCAATTAGTATTGGAGCAAAACAATAACATCAACAATTTGTCAAATTATGCATCTACGTGCATTGTGTTATATAATGCTTGTTGCTGTCTACGATGAACCATGTCAAGTATGATAACGAGCGTATACTGTGAGTCATTTATATTCTTATGAATAAAACTTCAGCGTATAATTATTTTGTAACAGCTTTTATTTGCGTATTATTTCTCTTAAAATTGTACCACTATTTATGTCCATTATTTTGAAAGAATGACCATGTTTTACAATAATCAGAGCTGGGACATACATTTGAAATATAATACTTTTATTTGAGAAACTTTTATTTGTAAAATAGTTATATTTTGTATTTTGTATTTCTGCGGAGCACATAAAAATATTTTATATTTTGTATTTAATGGGAGCATATAAAACTGTTTTGTATTTTGTGTATTTCAAATACTAATTGTAAGAGATTTATATAATCAATCTTATTATTTAAATTATAAAATACAAAACTTTCGATTTTTCGATTTTAAATACGTAATGTATTCGTAATTGAAATACGATATATACAATATACACTTGTGCAAATAATGCGTTTCAAATATATGTCCAGTCCTAACAGTAATTTACGCAAAATATGTAAATATGACGCTGTGTCAATCAGAGATAACGTGAAAATTGCGTATTATTTCTCTTAAAATTGTACTACTATTTATGTTCTTTATTTTGAAAGAATGACGTGTAAATTATGTATTTGTTTTGTTACCAGCTACTTAATTTCTTACAAATAGAAAATACTTTGTTGGATAATGCTCTGATGTCGGGATAATTTTTGAACATTTTTGTGAAAACATCACGGAAATATTACGTCTAACTTATACTTCTTACTGTGAAAATATTAATATTAAATAGAAATAATTTAATTTACTAAGGATAATATAAAGTATTATTTTATTAGATACGAAGAAGATAATTAATACTTTCTTACTGCAGTCTTCATACTATAAGATAAGATGTATGTATTTGATCTTCTGATTAGAATTGGAAGGAATTAGGTTACTGCAGTTACTGTGTAGGTAACAAGTACTGATTACGTGACACATTGTGCGTGATAGTTGACAGCGCACGATACGAATGAGATCATTCTTCTTCAGTTGCATCGATAGTTATAGGCATAAGTTAAATTTTAATTTAATTTATTCTGTGCTCGATCCTTTTTCTGTAATTTTGTTTCAGTTATTAATATTGCTTATCCTTCGAAGAGCACATAATATTTACATGTGTGAAAAAAAACAATATAATAAGTTCATCTTTACATGTCTAGACGTATGAATTTTTTATGTATTAGTTAAAAAAGTATATGTGTTTATATTCTATCGTTGATTCCGGTAAATTTGCAATACATAAATATCTTTTTTACAATACAAATATTTGCATGATATAATAATTTGTGCTACATGACGAAAGTTATGTACTTATATTATCACCTATGGCTGCGTTCGGGAACGTCGCTCAGATGTCTCCGATGCCTCGGATTCATCATCTGTCCTTGTTTAATATTAGATGTTAAACAAGGACAGATGATGAATCCGAGGCATCGGAGACATCCGAGGGACGTTTCCGAACGTAGCCAATATATAACAGTACTTTATATCTTGGTTTTAACTTTTTAACATTTTATTCATTCGCTAACAAGTAATAAATTGGAGTAACAAAATTCCTTTCACTTTGATGGTGTACTTTGTTTACATGTGCTTATCAAGGTGTATACTTCAGTCAAAGTCAACTTTAGATAATCAAATTTGTCATGAACCAAGATCACGTTTTTTCGAGTTGACTGCGGAAATGTAGAAAAATGATTAATCGCACGGTCGCGAACGTTTTAAAATGCCAAGGCCATCTGATGGGCACGATACAGATAAACAATGTCAAAATGTCAATCTTTTGGAATTGACACAGAAGTATTTAACAAACGTGTTTTTCGATCATTTGTCAGTAAAAACATCTGTTGCATATCAAATTAAGCATTTTGTACATACTATATGTGCCTATTATTTAATGTGCATTTTCTTGATTTCCATTACAAGCATATGCGATTTATATTCGTGAAAAAAAATTTGTATAGAAGTTAAAGTATTAAAAATAATTAACAGATTTCTTATTTTCTAACCATTTGAACATGTAATGCTGCAACTTTTGCAATAAATACAAATCGCATTTTCCTTGTAGAAAAGTTATTTATATTATATTTATCTTGTTTGTAATAATAATGATTTATCAGCAAAGTCAATTCATTATTATAAGGAATGACAACTTATATAAGTATAAATGTACTTACGATATAACACTTCGTATTAATGTATAAGCTTATTCGTTATATTTATTTATTTATTACATTGTTGTTATTAGTTAATATTTTAATTTATTAGTTAATATATTATGAACTGTTTGTTTTTTTTTCTCATAAACATAGAGATATTCGGTTTTATTGCCTCTTTATTTTATAAAATATACATCCTTTTCGACGTCAATAAATTTTATGTTCTGTTATGATATATTTTATTATATTTTTATTATTATAATACAAAACGGTGCTATTCTGTCAAGTTCTTGGAATTTCTTTTCAAGAATTTTTTAAGTTATTGATATATTCGAAAATGCAGTTGTCGAATATATATTGAACAATTATTGTCCATCAGAGTAGCATTTTTTAATAAATATTTCAATTTGGTCGGGACAGTAATGAATCGGAAGATTATCTTTCTACTAGCTAAATGATTTAATTTGTTGGTTTCTGAATGCCATCATCTGCTTAGATTATTTAGGAACAAAATCTTCCCTTTCTCCCTTCCTTTCTTCCTCCCCCCCTCACCGTTTCTTTCTCTCTTTTGTCACGTCTTTCGTATGTACTTATTTTCAAAAAGTGATTGTGCTGCTTTTTTAAGTAAAATAGTTATCTGTTTCTCATTTAAATAATATTCAATTTTAAAATTATAATTAAATTTCTGAATGCCAAACATAGAAATTCTGTGTATTATTTGGAAGAGAATCTTTTTATTACTATATTATGAAAAATTTATAATATTGATAAAGTTCCAAAAGTATAAAAAAATTTAAGTTAATTCGGTAAAATGTGTAATTATATGATAAGGTTTTCTTTTTTTATAGCCGTGTAATCGGACGAACATCGAGAAGTATTATTAAGTCGATATTACATTTTTAGAGTAAAATAAAGAATTACTAATAATAAGATAAGATATTTTTTGTAAGATTTAAAATTTCTTTATCTTTGAAAAATTAAACGTCTTAATCTCTCAATATTTGAAAAATATGAAACTGTTTTTAGTTGCAAAAATTTTATTTTATTTATATATACTTCTAATCCATCTATACATTTTCAGAGAGAGAGAGAGAGAGAGAGAGAGAGAGAGAGAGAG